GACAAAGAACAGAAGTTACCGATGTAATTTCCCGAATTGCCACACTGAAATGGAACTAGGCCGGACACGTCGCCCGAATCACTGATGAAAGGTGGACGAAGAGATTGCTTGAGTAGAGGCCGAGGTTAGACAAAAAAAGTAGAGGAAGACCCCTACAGGTTGGACTAACGATCTCAAGAACATGTCAAGAAATTGAATGAAAAATGCTCAAGACAGAGCACAATGGACAAAAATAAGGAAGGCCTATGTCCAGCAGTGGACGCAAAGGGCTGGGTGATGATCGCATTGCAATTTAATTGTTTACAAGTGTTAAGTAATTCTCTACCTTTTGTGGTTATTAATCTGGATCCCCATTACATATATTTTGCATTATCTGCACCTTTTAAAAATCTATTAGTATTATTTGTACAATTCTACTTTTATATTATGTTTTACTAGACAGTATACTGTCGCCACTATAATTTCTCATTAGTGAGATATATTTTGTTATATATTTTTTATTATTACTGCTCTGCTTTTATCAGATTTTTTTCTATGTCAAAAAAAATCACTTTCAAAGTTGTTTTTGGTCGTTGAAGACGTAGAAGGTGGTTGGTATTTTACTCCATAATTCTGATTTGCGTAGCTATTTCTGACTTTCTTACTTTCGCTGCGTTTTTTGAGGTTTCTTCTTGTTTAATGCAACACATTTAACTTTTCCAATATAAGGTTTAACGTCGCATCTGTAGATTTGTTATGCTTTTGGTTATCAGTGTTATTGATATTCTGATTCCTATTACTGACTACTTCTTTATATGGTCTAGTTGCTTGGATACTATTTACATTAACTTTTCTTTTAGTAGATTTGGAATTTGTGGTCCCTGGGCTGCTTTTTAGGGTTGTATCATCAATCTGTCAGCTTTTGTGTATTTGCAAGTAGGAAATCTTAGGATTCCTAGTGTCACTCTTCTATTCTGTTCTATTCATAAATTGATCGGCTTACAGATTTTATATTTTCCGAATAACTTTTGTGATCTGCACCAGATTCTGGCAATATTTCAATAAATTTTTAGTCTCGTTCTTTGTGTTTATTTAAACTTAAGAACACACTCTTAAACAGCGGACTTAACATTACATGTTCTTTATGTCAGAACTTGTATTCTGAACAATGTCTCTCTGGTACTCAATCCATTCCTCAAACCCAATTGGGTCTCCGTGAGGCAGTCAGATATTCAGGAGAACCTTCATAACATGACTCATCAATATTAAACAAATTTAATATTTCTCTTTTCGTACTTTTTATTATTATGATTCTAGTAATTTATGCAGTATTTTTTTACTTTGATGTATTGTTAATTGGTACCTTGGAACGAGTAAGCGTTTTTGAATATTGCATTGCCATGTAAACTATCTAACATGTTAATAATTGTCAGCTACCACTAAATCATTTTTCCATGCTACTACAATCATGTATTATTTTTCCATAGTCGATCGAGAAGAATGCATATTTGAAGAACTCGGAAAGAAAGAAGACAAAAAAATACACACCACAATTAACAAATAAACGGGAATACGTCATAAAATCCAAGAAAAAGAACAAATATATGGAAAATGGCTTAGCACAAAAAATGAACAAGACTATAAAAATTTTAAAAAATAGCAATTTTAATAGTTAAAAATAGCAATATCTGGAACAGGCCGTTTCGTTTTAGAACCTTCAGATAACAAATGACTTTAAGAAGGGAATATGCTTTTTTAGAAGATCTGTTCTAAATATGACTGAACTAAAGATTTTGAAGGGTATACAAAAGATCGTTCAAGTCACAATGTAGAAAGGTCTACCAGACCAAATTTAAACCCTTTGCAATTTACATTCACAATCTCCTTTGCCTCTTTAATTTTCTTTATTATTAATTTGTAAGTCTGTATTTTGTGAGACAAGTGTTATTGTTCGTTTATCAGGTCCATTAGCAAATGGTTACTGATTAAATGGTACTAAATGAAGCAAGCTTTGGTTGATAATACTAAAAGAAAAAGTCAATAATAAGAAGATATCAACAATAGCGGAGTAATAGGAGATAAAAAAACATCGCCTACAATCTTACTCACAATAAATATGCAACACATAATACACAAAACACAAATCTACGTTGAAAAATTTACATTACACAATCACAATTACTATACGTTTTATACAAATACAGTAGTCTCTCTTTAAAACGATTTCCTATATAACAATAATTCCTCTATAACGATGAAAATAGTAAATGTTGCTTGGTTCGCTATAAGGACAATGTATTCATTCTTTCTCTATACCGATATCGTTCTCTCTTTGTAGTGATGACTTTTTTGCGTTCAATAGTCGATGACAAATGTGTTATTGTGTTTAAAGTTCAGACAGTCATTGTCCAACGGTTGTTTTGTTTTGCGCTTAAGGAATGCGGCCACCCATTCTACTCATTCTTATCAGAGGGTTAAGTGATTCGCTTTTAATGTTCGGGTGGCGTGCCTAACTGTTATCACACAGATATTGTCATCTATTGACGACTTTTCATTTCCAGTTTGAGTTGTGTCTCAGTGTGTCAACAGTCAACATGTTTTCGAAAAAGCATAAAGTGCTTTCAGCGTATGAACCATATTCCACTTTCTGGGCCTGTGGTCAGGATAAAAGCTTGGGTTTTTTGCAACTGTGCATGGAATTGAGAATTTCAAGGCACCTGAGGGTTGGCTGACCAAGTGGAAGCTGCAGCATAAGATCAACTACGGGCAAATCAGCGGAGAAGCTCGCGATGTTAACAAAAACGTAACGGATGATTGTCTAGAAAACGTGTGGCCCGGAATGAAGGCACGATATGTGTCAGACGACATTTTCAATGCTGATGAGACTGGATTGTTTTTTAAAATGAAATCAAACAGAACTTTAAAATTTAAATCGGAAAAGTGCGTTGGTGGAAATCTCTCTAAGAAGCGCATTACATATTTAGTGGACGCTAACATGACAGGTTTAGTGAAGCAAAAATTGTTAGTGATAGGGAAGTCGAAAAACCCACGCTGCTTTAAAAACATAAAATAACTACCGGTGTCCTATAAAGCAAACAGGAGTGCGTGAATGAAGAAGCGATAAGAAAGTGGAAGTGGAAGGAGTGAAGAAGCGATAAGAAAGTGGAATATCGAGCTTAAACAGAAAAAATTCTTCTGCTTGTAGACAATTGTCCTGCTCATTATGTACTGTGCGCCCTTTAAAACATTGAACTATGTGTTTCTGTCAGCAAACACAACGAGTGTCCTTTAGCCAATGGACCAAAGTGTCATCAGAGTTTGAAAAGCCATTACAGAGAAGACTTTTGATGGAATTGGTTGAGAACAATGGCGATCTTAAACTAAACATTATTGACGCCATCCTAATGATTATTGAATATTGGGACGAGGTAACGAGCAATACAATAAAATATTCCTTTAAACACACAGGATGGCTGGAAGATCAAGGATTGACTGATGGTGAAGATGACCTGCTATTAGATGTTTGAGCCAGATAGTTCTTACTACCACCTACGGACCGGAAGAGCTAACAGATTTTGAAGAAGTTGATGAAAATGTAGCTACAACTTCTGGAATTTCTGATGTAGTAATTTTTTCATATTGTATTGCTTATATTATTCTTTAATAAATCTCTGAGGTGTACAATACAGTGTTAATTCATTTATATTTGTTTTGATAAATTTTTTAAATTAAAATAGGTTTTTTAGTACAGTATTATTAATATTACAGTACCGAATTTTGTCTCTCTTTGTATAAAGATCTCTCCTTATAACGATGAAAATTCCCGGTCCCTTGCATATCGTTATAGAGAAAGAGGACTGTATATGACACAAAAAAAAACACACAGTCAAAATTGATAGTCGTAGACTATAAAACCACCCTCAGATTTTTTCAGCCATTTACTTTCTGCTGTCTACAAGATTTAGGTCAAGTATATCAAATTTGAAATGACATAACCTATGACAAATAACTTTGGTTATACATTTTCGCACATTTTTTATAATAATCCTTTTTTTAACGATTTCTGGATTAGAAGTCAAATCGTCAAACACTATGAAGTTCAGAGAAATATGATTTTCATTACAACCAAATAAACATGACACAAGAAAGTAGTTTCAGAACCTTACTATTACCGTTTTATTATTTATTTGGTTTGAATGTATATTTGTTTTCGAATTTATTTAACTCTTTTTCAAAACATAATTTGTGAATATTGTATTATAAGATTAGCAAAATTACTTAACAATTTTGCTAATCTTGTAATACAATCCTCACAAGGTATGTTTTGAAAAAAGGTTAAATAAACTCGAAAGCTCAGCAAACCTTAAGAGTTTTATCTACTTAAAGGCCAGTATTGGCTACAAGACCCAAAATATACATTGTCACTAAAGCCCTTCCAAGAAAAAAAAAAAGAATATTAGTATATATTATATTCTATATTATATATAAAGTATTTTCAATTCTTTGCAATTTATTAAAACATTAGCAAAACACGAGAACTTATTTTATATTTACGAAATAACTTTTATTTATGTTTATTGAATAATCTATAATTATATCCTGTATACTTCAACAATACGTCATTCTTAATAAGAATAACCCATGAGTAAGAAGGAGCCACCTCCCCTTTTTACAAAACTGAGACTGATCCATTCATTCATAGGGTCATTTCATTATTCGTATTTGGTACCTACAAATCAGCTCACTTTGAGCATGTCACAGAATAAAAGCAATCAATACCGTAGCTTCCCCGTAACGCTGTAAAGAAAATCGCCGGAAAATTCCAGTGAAAATTTGCAAGACATTCATATTTAACAATGAAATAATTATTTATTCGCAGTGGTTTTATAAACGACGTCATTGGCCATTAGTTAAAGTGTTTTATCATAACTGCCCGGAAAATATTCTGGAAACTGTAACAATTTTCGCCGGTGCTTGGCAATTTTTGCGTCGTTAGTAATAATAGTAATGTATGAATAAATCAGTGGGAGACTTATTTTTGTCTTAGTGATTCATAGATTGTATTTTGTTCAGTGGCACCTTGTCGATTGTAGCGAGGAAACTAAGTGAGGAAATCGGAAAAATCGTAGAAATGGCTTCGAAAGTTATGGTGAAAATACCTGTCGCTCCATTCGGCAAGGTGAGTTAGTTAGGTCAGGTTTTTCAGAATCATAAGCGTTGTTCGCGTCTGAAATGTTTTTGAAAATAAAGATAATTTTTACTCATTAGAAGTTATGTATAAACAAATCAATTACGAATACATTTATTGAAATAATTGTTTGGCGTTACGCAATATTGATATATCTGTAGCAAATATTTTATATAAAATTATGTTTTATTAAATCTCCTTGAAGGTTGAACTCTTCGTTTGTTAATAAGTATTATTAACACAAACACAGTGTAACAATAAAACACTATTCTAAAAATAATGTTACTTTTTATATATTCTTCTAAAATTTATTTTCTTTAAATCAACGGTATCGGTGACATAAAGCTTTATTATTTAAATAAACTATTTGTAGTAGTCAACTAAGATGTACGATTTTTTTATGATTAGTTAGTACAATTAATTGTGTGAAGTTATAAGAAATGACATACGTATCGGTTAAAATCTATCATTTATGTTTTGTCTTTTGAAGTTTATTATTTTAGTACGCAGTATCTCTAGAGTCAATATTATTATTATTTTTTTATTTTTGGTTATCTCTTTCTTGACTATTTCCTCAAATTTCTTACTTTCCTCTTTTGTTCATTGTGGGTGTGTTTTTTGTTTATTACGTATTTTTTGTAAGTTTTATATGTTTATAATTGGTATTGTTCTATTGTTTATATATATATATATATATATATATATATATATATATAACACATATAGGTACACTATGTATCAGCCAAATGGAATAAATTAGCTAATAAATAAATGAGGGAGTATTCGAAAAAACGGTAGAAACACGTCGATTAGTATTTATAGTTGCGCATTTTTTTCCATAAAAACTTTTTATACGGGGTGTATCAGATAACGGTGGCCAATACCAACTTGCTTATTTTAAATAGAACACCCTGTATATTAATTAATTTTTAGATTCCTCATATCATTTTAGACATCTTTTTAATACAATGTCGTATACCGTTATCGATACACCCCGTATATAAAGTTTTTATAGAAAAAATTGCTCAACTATAAATACTAATCGACGTGGTGGACGTTTTTTTTGAGTATTCTCATTTATTTATTTGCTTATTTATTCCATTTGGATGACACACAGTATATATAGTATATATATATATATATATATATATATATATATATATATATATATATATATTTACACGTCCCGGCTATAGCTCCCCTTTTTAAAATGCGGTTATAAGTCGTCTTCCAGAAGAAGTGAATATCTTTAAAATTTTATTCGTGTATATTAAATTTTTAACCCTTCTTATAATGTATTGAAAATAAAAACATTAGAATTTTTTATACAATTGCCAAATTAATACCAAATGGTCTTCCGTCTAAAATTACTATACATACCTCCTCCAATGTATATTAAACTACCAAAATAAATAATATAAATCAGAGACTAAACGACGGTGGATAAGTAAACCAAATAATATATTATAGTGTGGAAACTTCAGGTATGTACTTATATAATTTTTATAAACTCCATCTACAGCTTCTGATGAAATGTTAGATCCCAATTATGTTCTCTTCGATGATTCTTCAGTAAGTGCAATAACACTTTTAAAAGAATAACATCCGTTGAGTACTCTGATATTGAAATGGATAACGGAAATAGTACATTGTTTACCGGGTAAGAAAAGCTTAACATTCCTGGACGACTGTGAAGATTGCTAAGTCGAGGTGCAAGCCGAGACTTAGCAACACAGAGTCCAGGAATGTGGCTTTTCCTACGAGGAAAACATACTATTTTTCCGCAAATCGTTTAAAATTCGACAGATATTAATTGATTTAAAAAAAAACGCGATAATTTTATTTCCAAATAAATGGTGCTTTGAAATTCCTAATAAAATTACTTGGGTTACTATGGAAACGTATTGAGGTTGAATTGTCAAACACTAACAACTGTACGGAAATATCATTTCCTTACAGTAAGGAAATGACATTTCCTTACAGTAAGGAAGTCCTGACTTTTTCTTCAAGAAATTTTGACAGGAATGTCAAAATTTCCTGGCGATTTGCGGAAAAATATATTATTTTTTTTTAATTTAGTTTTTAGAAAAAATCTTTAAGTTTTCCAGAAATAAATAATTGTTCTTCCCACTCTAGTTCAATAACAAGTTAACAAAGATGATTTAAATATCGAGATAAGTTTACTTTAAATATTTTAGCAATATATTTCAAAGCACATACTTTTTAGGAACAATCTAATTCACCTTCGTCTTCTGTCAGCCTAAATATCGATCAACGTGGAAGAAACTTGCAATATAAATATGAGGTCTTTCAAAAAATCTATTTTTTGTTACTTTTGTGAATCAGTTCTATTAAATTTTCCCAGACATATAATACGATATTATTAAAGCGAATTAGAAGTTCAAATAATTTTGGTTTACCCTCCAAGAAGTAAAACGAGAATGCAATTGTTATTTGCTTTGAGCAAAAAGGAAAACTATTTATTAGGTTCAGCAAATTTAAAACCAGTTAGGAAAGGATCTGCAGATACAAACTACGTACCGTGTGACCACTGCTTCGGCATGTATTCTGCAAAAAACTTATGGCATCACAGAAAAATATGTAATCCTGATTGAATAACCAGAAATTCCAGAAAAACCAGAAAATCACAAGCACAAAATTTCTTATTAAGGCACCTTACATTGGACACATAATTATTTAAAAGAAGCTGTTTTTCATCGAATGCGAACAGATAATGTATTCCTCGTGGCTAAAAAAGATCCGCTCATTTGTGCGTTTGGCTCAAGATATTTAAAGATCCATAGAGAACAATACTTTATACCAATGGCGTCAAGAAAAATAGGGAAAGTAGCTAAAATTCTTATCGAACTAAGAAAAAATAGTTTCTCAATTCAATTAAAACGCTCTTTGACTCATTGAAACCAGAATAATACGATTCTTTAGTCTTTCCTACTAAAATAGTTTCAAAACTTAAGCAAAACTTTTAAAGCTGGATCATTTGCTAAAAATATTGGCACTATATAAAAACAGTGTTGTGATAATAGCACTTATGCATAATGCGAAAAAGTCTGAGTTTACTGTTAAAAGTGTCAATGCTAAAATAAAGACACTAAATACAAATAATATAAGTAAATTGGAAATATGATATTTCCAGTCAAGCTGCAAATGATTTACGACATGAAAAAATTAAACAAAGTGACGTTACTACCACTAGCAAGTGACCTTATGCTATTGAAAAACTATCTCCTCTGAATCACAAATGAATGTGGATAAATTACAGAAAAATAATAATAATATTAATTCTTACATGTTTCTGTTAGAAACTGTATGTATATTGCCGTCTAATCTTATTAAATAGAAGGCGCCCTGGTGAATTAGAAAGACAGATAACTCTGATTAACTATACAGAGTTACATTAGTGCTAAAGATAATCAATATTATGAAGAGTTTTCTGAAGCAATTTCAGAAACCGAAAGAATTTTAATAAAAAGTTTTAAAAGAATAGTAATAAGAAGTAAGAGGGGACGTGGTGTAGCCGTCCTAGGAAGTAAGGATGTACAAGAACATTTAGAAATGATTACAAAATGTAAAGATTTACTTTTAAAAATACCTAGATTTTATCTTTTTGGTAATCCAAAATTTGATAAACCAATTCGATGGTATAAAGTAATGTCAAAGTATGCTAAATTATGCGGAGCTAAAAATCCTAGTGCTCTTACATGTACAAGGTTGCGAAAACATCTAGCAACGCTAACCCAGTTGTTTACAATATCGGAAAATGACATGGAGCAACTGGCTTCATTTATGGGACCCACATTAGAAATCATCGATCCTTATATCGACTCACCGATGACATTTATCAAACTGTAAAGATCTCTAAGTTGCTCTGTTAATGGAGAAAGGTAGAGCAGGTAAAAGGTTTAGAACAAATAGAGATAAATTTGGAAGAAGACATTATAAAAGATGATAATGGACATATTAATGAAGTATTTAAGGAACAAGAAAATGAAACCAATGATGTTATTGAATCAAAAGGTCCAGAAAGTTGTAATAATGAAAAACAGGGAATAATGGATATGAAGACAAAAAACAAAAAAGGGTTTTAGTTCCGTGAACAGAAACTTAAAAGAAACTAGCCAAAATGTATTTTAAAACCCACATTAAGCAAAAGAGACTCCCAAAAAATCAGAATGTGACGATCTGATCTATTAAAAAATAAAAATTGGCTCAAAATAAAGGTATTCATTCAAAATGAATATAAAAAGTATTGAATGTCTTGAGTTTCCCTTATATTTTCAGTTTTGTTTGTATTTTCATTTGTGTTTTATTTGTTTTTAAAACTATTAAAATTAAAGATTTATAACGAACATAGATACATGTTTTTTTTTCGTTAGCCCATGTTAGAAATTTACAAATGATTATCAATAGTATATATAGCCCTTAAATAATCAGATTCGATTACAATAAAACAAATAGAATACATTAGAATTTGTTTTTCGTTTTTATCATTAGTTTTATTGTGACCAAAAACCTCTCTACTTTGATTAAGATTTTTTGTTGAAATAGATATATACTTTAAAGTTTAAAGAAAGATTGGAAAACTATTAAGTAGTTTTCGAATCATTATTCCAGAGGAGGACTAAACCACCGTAATATAAAAATAGGAAGAACTAAGGTCGGTAAACTATAATTGGAATATACGTAACGAAATATACGCCGACACTGGCGACACAACAAGTAATGTGGCGATCATATTGAACTAAAATATTCAAACGTACAAAAACACGCAATAACTCACCCATCTGAAATTTTGCTCAATGGTTTAGAATGATGTTTCGACTTCTTTTATAATGATTGCGATAAGTCCTCCGTATACGGAGGACCCACCACATTGGAGGACCTATTCAATGTAAATTTCCTATATAAGGAGGAGCTATCCATTGGTGCGTATATATATATATATATATGTATAATATATATATATATATATG